CAGTGATCTTACTACAACCTACCGTGATTGTAGTAAGATCACTGTTTCCGAACATGGTGGTCTCCGCCTTCTTACATGCTGTCAACCAACAAAAACATGTTTCAACAAAACAAGGTTTATCTAATGACTATTTTTATGTATGTAAAAAGTCATGTACATTGAAGTATGTTTAGTGCATTCAACTGAAATCCGACCCCCTGAGCAGTGTGTTCACATTCTAGCGGTCTCTATTTTCGTAGTTTTACTATCCCCTTGCGATGTGTGCGCACCGCACCGCTCAGGGGTCGGATTTCAGTTGCCAGCACTGTAGTTGCTGCATGGCATACACTGTAAACATTGACTTACAGAACCTCGTCGTGTGATATTACTACTCAGTACTACTGACAGTAGTCGTTCAGCTCTTCTGCAGCACGCCCGCACGCCGGAAGGGCACCGCCAGTCGAAGCCCATCTCTGCCACGGACTCCGAGATTGAGAACACAGGAATCCTGCTTTCTGAAGATGCTGTCCACTTTGGATTTGTACCTTTTTTTTGTGGACAGCCCTGTACCATAGTATAGTATAGGCATAGCTATACAAACAATAATAAGAGGATGAAAAAGTGTTTTTACTCCGAGTTTCACGCACTAAGCGATCATCAGAAAACAGTGATGAGTAAATCTGGATACTGGTTTATATACCCACAAAGCAAAACGGTGTAAATGACAGCAGTCGTGAAAGATTGCATCATGCATGGCATAATTATAAAAGGCGCGCATGACAGCAGTGGTGAAAGGTATCACTTCAAGTGACAAGCACTGGAGCTCGTTCTCGTGGCGACATTTCGACACCATTTCACTCCTCTTGTTGAGGGAGAGAGAGGCGCTCGAATCCTTGCGCGATTGCTAATTTTCCGCCAGGCCATAGGTTGCACCTTTTGCTTTTGTTGCTGTAGGCCACTGCTTTGCGGTGTACCGCCCATTGAATGCTGTATGCCTTCCCTTCATCTCAAGTCTCCACAAAATCTTCAACAGTAACTCGGTAAACGTTAGCTAGCACAGTTGACACTTGTATGCAGAATATGGCCACCATCATCAAACAACTCAATAACACAATCCTACGACCCAAGAAACAAGCCAACGGAGGTGACAACGACCCCGGGACTTGTAACAATCGGAAGAAATAATTATGTCCACTGGACGGAGCGTATCTAAGGGAGAGAGTATTGTGTAAAAGGCAAGAGTCACCATAGGTACAGAGAAGAAGGTGTATACTGGATTAACAGCAACAACATTCAAACAACGCTACTATACCCACCAATCATCATTCCGCACAGACAACACGAGAAGGACGCCCGCCTATCACAGTACGTCTGGGCCAAGAAGGATGAAGGGAAGGCATGCAGCATTCAATGGGCGGTACACCGCAAAACAGTGGCCTACAGCGACAAGACTTTTCAAAAACAAAAGGTGCAACCTATGCCTGACGGAAAATTAGCAGTCGCGCAAGCATCCAAGCACCTCTCCCCCTCTCTCAACAAGAGGAGTGTTACTTGCGTCTAAGGGTCGCCACGAGAACAAGTTCTACCTTCGGAACTTCAAACCGTCCACAGGCATCACCCAATCAAGTAGCAGACAACCAGCTCCATGATCCAGTGCTTGTCACTTGAAGTGATACATGTACCTTTCAGTTTCACCACTGCTGTCATGCGCACCTTTTATATTTATGCCACGATGCATTCTTTCACGACTGCTGTCATTTGCACTTTTGCTTTGTGGGTATACAAGGACAATCAAGGCTTGTTTGCTGCGACTTGAAGTTTCATGCTCTCGCCATCATCAAGCAACATGAAACCTCAAGTCGCAGCAAACAAGCCTTGATTGTCCTTGTTGTTCTGTTCTGTATTACGCTCTGCTTTGTGGGTATATAAACCAGTATCCAGTTTTAATCATCACTGTTTTCTGATGATCGCTTAGTACGTGAAACTCTGAGTAAAAACACTTTTTCATCCTCTTATTATTGTCTGAACTAGCTCTGCCTTTCAGTATTGAGCACTCTACAGGACAGCCTGCAACCTCTCTGTTTATTTGGCATAGTCATACAATCATGTACTATTGTTAGATTGACGGCATGAAACAAGGTGCAGGACACTGTGTTCGAAAACAGTGACCTTACCACAACCATCCACGGTTGGTAGAGCCCCGGTCCGTTGGGACCATCTGAACCATATGGGTGTTGAACCCAGTTCTGACCCTCATTATGCTAGGGGAGTTTTAGGAGTTTTAGACTTCTCCTTGTTTCATGCTGTCAATCTAACAATATGCGTGAACTATAACAAGGCTTATCTAATACTGGTTCTGAACCAGTATTGGGTTATAATATAAATCATGTACTAGTAGTAGTAGATGTCGCTTCCTGAATACCGCTGACCTACAATACATTGTACATGATTGTACATGACCGTACATGACTGTATAATGAGTCTGACTGTGTTGAGCTGCTGTCCATGCACATGTACCATGGCATGTGTACCGCATGGGCGGAACTCTAAAAATGTATTTTCATCTGTTGCTGTTCCTGCCATACTGCATGGTACATGGTACCGGTACTGCATGCAATGACCAATCATGCATTAAACAAATCCGTTGCTTAGCACCTGGAGTCTTGTTTGTTGTAGCAACAGTAACTAAATGACGTCACAACACAGGCTCAAGAACTACTTGTAGCCTTTTTCGGTTGAGCTGAAGCCTATCATTACCAGGCTACCTAAGTCCTTGCCTGGACTGCTGAAGTGGTGTGAAGGGTCTGGCGCATGCAGCATTTTGACCAGGCTCCGACTCGCGATCATAAAGAGGGCCCAGTCACTTGTCTATCGTAAACTGGACAAGTGCTTACTGTATAAAGTAATTATGTGTCTTACCGGGTCTCACGAGAGCTTCAACTGCTCGATACATCATCGCACTGATTTGTAGGTGAAGTGTTTGAACAGTATCCATGGTGTTATTCGGTTATAGCCTACACTATTGATTCCATCCAACCCTTGGTCCTGGTATGATCTCATGGACATGCCCATGATCTGATGGTAGATCTACACAAAGCCAAGTAGATGACTGTGGTTCAGGCTGACACGCTACTGTCTCATCTGAGTGTCTCGACTGTACCATGTCCATGTACCACTACTCTTCAGTGGCATGACCAATGTCAATGAACACTTGTTAGGCTGCCCCTATGCCATGGCAGTGCTAAGGGCCCTGTTTCCAAGGCTGCTCTGTGATGGGTTCGTCGCCAAGGCCAATGCAATGGTGCTCGACACTCGACAGCCGCTAGCCTAGTCGAGTCTAGGATCGAGGACTTAGGGTTCGTTGCATCACCCTCACCGCACCCTTCATGCAATTACTGAATTAAGAGTGCAGAGCGGAGAGAACTGAAGTGAAGACTGAAGAGTGAAGACAGTGAAGTGAAGACGCATAGAATCTACTCCACGTGGCACACAGACTGTCAGTCCATGATTATGATTGCATCGTATGACACTCCGAGTCACAAATACACCAATCTGTTGCAGCGAATGAAATTGTGTGATTGTACATGTACTTGCACTTCCTTGGGCTTTCCCCCCGTGGGCTTATACCCTATTAGGTCCGTAAGGAGCTATCGGTGATGCATAGTCCTACCAATACCATTTACCGCGCATCGATACCATCACAGTCACAATGAGCCATTGTGAAGCCACCGACGGTCAGCTGATGCAAATATGCCACACTACATGTGTCATGTAGACCACGCACGCTGCACAACACTACAGTACAGTCTCCAGCACTCGGTGTCATACTCATGCAAATGCCATGGGAGCTTCTGGTCGCCATTCCGGAGTCCAGCCTGCAGTGAGCACCACTTGAAGCAATCTGAAGGTATTCGATTTCCGCCGTCCTCCCATTATGCACCATGTCACGTGCAGCGCCAATCCGAGGCCCCAGCTTGCATCATAATTCATATAAAAGGCATCGCCACGAACGCTCAAGTGTCAATGCATGCTTTAGATCTCGACCATTTAATCAACGATTTGGAACGGAAGTATTTTGAATCCTGTCACTGAGCCTATTTTCCAACGACAGCGTAGAGGCTATCCTTGACCTTGGTATCTATCTACAATTTAGGTAAGTTCGGGTTTGCTGTAGGTACAATCGATTGGGAGAACAAGTTGCATGGCTTGTGACCGAGTCAGATACTACTAGCACTAGCTTTGCACTATAGCCGTGTTTTCCTGAATACTTCTGCCTGTCTTGCCTGATCTACCCGCGTAGAAACTACTGCACACGACGTCTCTTGCCCATTCTACCCGTGTGCACGTAGAAACTAAACGGTCGTGGAAATACTCAAAGTCCCTGCATGGTTACTTTCATGCACTTTGTGAACCCTTCCTACACCGCCCGCCCGGTCGACCTCTGTCACTGTACTGAGCAGCAGCGAGCCGCACCGAGCCCCTCAATGATTATGTAGCACTAGCAGCAACTACAAAATGTAGCCTGGGACAGTGGGAGATCTACGCTGTCATCAAGATGATAATCCTGAGCACTAGTATTAGCGGTCTACTATTTGCAGTGCAAGTAGATCTACTGATTCTGTGATAGTGATCATTATCGTCGGACCAAGTTAGTTGGTCAGCGTCCGTGACGGACTATCAGTATTATACCTATCTGACTGCGGGTTCATGGGTTGCTTGGGCCAGTTTCAGCACTGGCAGCAGAAAACCAGTCGAGGTCAATCATAAGACCTCACTTGAGGTCCAAGGAGTGCGGGTCACCTGGTCAGGCAACATCGGCCTATCTTGCGGTGCAGAGACGAAAAGACCTGCTTCGGGGCATGGCATGCAGCTTCCGTCAGAATAGTGCGTTTCTACCACAATCATGAAAATGAGCCAGCCGAACCGTGCGATAGACGCCAGCTTTCACAATGCACTCGCCCAGATCATGCCCGCGATCCCTAGTCGGGCCTAGACATGACCCCAATCACCGCGCAGCGCGCCAAAGATGTACATGTAGCACGTGCGCGCATGCAGTTTCGGGATGGAGTCACTGCATTCTCGAAGACTGGAAACGAAGGAGGAGATTTAGGAGTAGTTGAAGAAGTTGGCTAGTTCATTGCTGTAGCATTATTCACCGAGTCGGTACTCTGTTCACAGCGTCCTGCAAAGTGAGCGTTCACGTTTGGCACGCGAGAGCGTAGCACCACAGGCATGTACAACGTGGACGGTTCTGATGTCTGGAATTCGTGTTGTATTGCTCTTCCTCCTTCACAGAGCCTACGGTACCACCCGGTGTTTGAAGCAAAGAAGCAGCAGCAGCAGCAGCACATTCCCAATCCAAGATGCCGGTAAGTGCATGATTCGCTAGTCTCTGCCAACTCTCTGATGACCAGAACTGGACCCAGCTGTGAATGGTGGGTAGGCCACAGTGGTGAGCATGGCTGCATTCCAGTCTTGAGTCTCAGAGTACGTGGGTCTGCATGTATATCGATCCATCCTCATCCTCCGCATAAAGAAATACCGATACCTGTAGGCTGTAGCTAGCTACGAGCGCGGATGACTTCGTGAAAGTAGCACTTCTACTGCTCGATGGGGGCATGCATTGTTTGCAATTCTGGCAATCCAATACTGAATTACTTACTGATGTCGCCGGGTGGGGAACTCAGCATTGGGAGTAGACCCTCTACCATGGCTGAAAATAGCTCTGCGGAGAACAAGGTCAGGTTGAGCATCTATCCGTTTTTGTTTCGCTCTGTAAAGAGCACTTAGGGTTCCCTGTAACAAGACGGCAACGTCTGTAGGGCCTTCCCTATCAAAATAATAAATTCTACTACTACTACTACAAGGAACAGTTAGGATTCAGGAACATGAGGACAGCTGTTACAGTGCGTGTACTGCAGATGTCTGGTCAGCTGTGTTGTACCCGCCACTCCACCTGGCACAGCAGAAGAGTCCTTCCAGTACAGCGACGCCACCCACACACTGGAGCCAGGGCAGTCATAACAATAAGTGCGGTATGGCATATGGCCGGGTGGCGGAACACCTTCAAAGTTCCAGACTGAACTGGTACAGTCCTGTCACACCGTCAGTGATACAGATAGGACACTCAAGTAACAGTTAGTTTGACAAGCTAGCATCGGAATTGTTGAGCCACTGGCCTTCAAATGGAGCGAAAGTCAATTCTGGTGAGAAAGGACACACTGTTCCAATTGTCTTTACATGAAGTTCAGAAGTAGAGGAAGATTTACATGTACTTTCAGACAAAGCCTACTACTTCGTACATGTGTGATAGCGAAACCAGTATAGTACCTCCGGGGGGGGGGGGGGGGGGGGGTAATGCAAACCAATGCCGTGACCAAGGTACTCTACATGTATATCAGAGGTCAAATGACTGGAAAGAACAAGCAGAATGTACGTTGGATTCCAAAGTATGGTTTACATGTACACTCATACCTCGGTTATCCGGACTTCGAAGTTACGGGCACTTCGGTCTACCGGGCACTATTTGGGCGAGTTTCAGGGGAAATATTACTACTCTTTTGTCACTTTTCGTAGAAATATTGACGTCATATGCCATATCGATGGCCTTTTCCCCATCAAGATGTATATGATTCGGAGTTACGGGCACCCTCGAAGTTACGGGCAGTGTCCGGTCCCGAAGCGCCCGGATAAGAGAGGTATGAGTGTACTCGCATCCACGCTGAAGCTTCCGACTCAGTATGTACAAGGATCTCATGGCACTCAACTAAGTGCACCAGTACTCAGTAGACCCATATTGCATTGTTGTTGCCGTATGGTTTATCTATATGCAGTGGGAGCGGGTCAGCACACTGGGTACATCCTCCGGGGTATGCAGTGGGAGTCAAAACGGGCACACACCGGATAACAGTGGACCATGTGTCAAGGAAACATGCGCGCACTACCCTCTACATTTTTAGAATCTCACTCCCCTGCTCTTGGCTATCGCTGGTGCTGCCGCCTGTGTTCTTGCAGACCCCTACAATTGTATCTAACCCAGGGTTCAATGCCGAGGAGGAATCACAAGCCCTTCGCAAAGCCATGAAGGGATTAGGTAAGAGTAATGATCGTGTACCAGTATTCCTCTTCATTATCCCATACTGTGACTTGAGATGGGGGTGCAGCTGCAGTCCCGTTTCCTACTATGTTGTGCGCAAAGTTCACTGAAGACGAACCCCTACACAAAGAACATACAACATACTTACAACTGTCGAGACTGAGGGTCATACATTCTCTGATAAGTTGAGCGCTGAGCTACTGATCACTATAGGACGCTTGTAGGCGTATTCTCCTGCATGCCTTGGATATCTACAGTTATTCTCAATGAAATCCAGTCGCGTGAGTCAAGTTTGTGCCTTGCACCGTTTCGCAGCCCAGTGTTCGCAGGTCAAGGGCTGTGCAGCGCCCGGCGCGTACTTGAGCGACGCAACTGGATTTCATTGAGCAGCACCGCTGTATATTGTAGTGGCCAGCAGCACAGGCAATGTTGCAAACAGCAGTCCCAACACTGAGTCTAAGTCAGACGCCCAGTTTTGTAAGCTGCTGAATCTTGAACATTTTGGTCAGCTGACAATTCTTATTGCTTGAACGGCATATCCGTTGCATGTTGTCTTCCCTGTATAGGTACGGACGAGAAAGCAATCATTGCGTCCGTGTCCCGAATGGCCAATGCCCAGCGCCAGGAGGTGATTGTCGTGTACAAGACGATGTATGGACGGGTGAGTAGTGAGATAATTGGTTACTACAGGATTTGATTGTGCAGGAGTATGACTAGCAGGAGTAGTGTGATGTCGACTGCATGCACTGTGACCTAGCCTATTCCAGTATGCATGGATTTTTTTATTGACACATTGCAGCCAGTCATTGCTGGGGACGATAGTAAGAGAATATTGCACCAAGTCGGCTCACTATACTATTCCTATATCCCAATGGTTAAAGTGTAAAGGAAGCATTAAAAAAAGGTTTTGGAGAGGTGACTTGAATGAGCTGAGAGGGAATGCACAACTTCACCATTGGTGTAGAGGTCATGTCACCACCAGCACCTTTCAGGGCGCTGCAGGTTTGATGTTTTGGTACTACTGCTGCATCCAAGACCAATGGTTGACAGAGGTCATCCCAACTCAGCAACACACAGTTCCCGACATTAACCTGGGTCTTGTTCCATTGCTGCACATTATCGCTGTTGCCGTTACAGGACTTGATCGATGATTTGAAGTCGGAGCTTGGAGGCGATTTCGAAGACACCGTCATAGCCCTGTTTTTGAAACCGGCTGACTTTGATGCTACATGTCTACACAAGGCCATCTCAGTGAGTACTTAGAATCCAGCGGCGGATAAGTCCGCGTGCGTATAAGCCCTTGGACATTGGTTTCAAAAGTGTCACAAGTACGTGCAGTACCAATTTTATCATCCCGGACTGTGATTATTGGTAGTTGGTGCAAGGAAATGAGGTAATAGGGAATGCCCCCCCCCCCCCCCCTTCCACTGGAACATCATCTCAGTCATGCCATTCTACTCCGTCTGGTCGTGGTATGTACTACGGGCTGCTACTCTTCTGGTACCTCATCTCCTATGCTGGCTGTTTATGTGTAGGGACTTGGCACAAAGGACAAGGTTCTGTGTGAGATCATGGCCAGCCGTACCAATGCGGAGATCAACGCCATCAAAGCATCTTACAAAAAGCGTAAGTGTACAGGGTTCTGCATGTGTGCCGATGTACAGTGCTGCTCAATGAAATCCGATCGAGTGGATTGAATACACGCCCGCGGGCGCTCCGTGCAGCCCTAGACCTGTGAACGCTGGGATGTGTACTGGTGCAGGGTGCAAACTTGACTCACTTGATCGGATTTCAATGAGCAGCACTGTGCTATGATGTCAGCGGTATGGGAGTGTCATGGGAACCCCCACCCCCCCCCCCCCCCCAACAGGAACTCCTGTATCTAGAAATGTGTATGCAGGTGGGCTGGCTCAGAGATTGAAACATGTTTGAGGGGGGCGAGTGAATTTCCACATACCTCCGCTTGTACTGATTTGTCAACTGTGTCATGTGGTTGATGCGCTGCCCGCGACAGTGTTCAAGAATGAACTGGAGAAGGACATCATCGGCGACACCAGTGGTGACTACAAGCGAATCCTGGTTTCACTCTGTCAGGTAAGACCAGTGCCCTACCGTACCACTTCATACCCTTTCTGGCACTGCCTTCTTGCTGCATGACTTGCCAATATGTGGAGTGATATGAAACAGCATGGGCATGATGAAACAAGAGCCATCATTTTTTGCTCATAACAGGGAGATGACCGTTTATCTGCATCTGAATGCAGGAGCCCAGTGCCTTCTGTTGGCAGGAACGGAGCAGGAGAGGTGTGCTCATGGAAAACATGTCAGCAACAACTACCCGATATAATGTATTTCAAATATTTTCTGGAGAAGAGGCCGCACTTTAAACGCTCGATATCATCATTCCCTAAAAAGGTCGGTGCGGCTTATACTACGATAGTCGAATGAACCGTGAAATACAGGGTAGATGTCTGCATTTCGTTACAAACAATCTGGGTGCCGCTTATACTCCTGTGCGGCTTTAACACATCCTCCCGCTTTCCTTCATCTTCCTCCTCATGTCATGTCAGGCTGCTCGTGAAGACAAGCCAGCGGATCAAGCATTGGCAGCAGCGGAGGCGCGGAAACTGCTTGAGGTGAGTCAATGAATAGACTTTCCCTGGAATATGAGAAAGTCGAAAATAATATATTCACCAGTCAAGTGTACCGTATTTCCCCGATTGTAAGTCACACTCCCATTTCCAGGTCCATGTCATATCGTTTCGATAAATTCACTTCAGTAGTAATCGTGCTCGATTGTAAGTCGCATCCCCTTTGTTGGCCCTGAAGTTTACGGTGTTAAAAGATGCGACTTACACTCGGGGAAATACCGTACTTGGTTCCTTACAAGCACCCCAGACACACACACCAGTACATGTGTCCGTGTCGGGTTATTTTAAAAGTAGTCCAACTTTATAGCAGCGTAACCCAATCAATGTCTTCTGGGAATGACAATCACTATTCAATTGCCTGATTAATTAGTTTGAGGCAGGAAGGTGGTTGCTTCTAAAGCTGCAGCTCGTGCTTCCTGCCGACCGACCGGCACTTCTCAGTTCGTAGAGCTTGAAGGAGTTCACTCGCATTTCACTTCGGTGCATCCCACAGGGCCTTGGCCTTCTTAAAGGACACTGAAGTGAGGTGCATGGAATAGTTCTTTCTTCTTCATTGCAAACATCAGTCTGGATTCCTCTTCACTCTCAGTATTTGGTGGGTACAACACTGGAATTGATCATGTGTGGGAACGGACCCTTTGTCCGCCTTTCCTATTATGGCAACGGCTAGATACAGGCTGGCCATTTTTCATACTGTCTTTCATGGTACGGAATTTGCACTGATATGCGTAACCTGCTTTGTTCTCCTAGGCTGGTGAGAAGCAGTTTGGCACCGACGAAGCAGTATTCAACACAATCATTGCACTACGCAGCTACCCTCAGCTCCAGGCCACCTTCAGAGAATACAAAAAGGTTTGTGCTGCGGATCAGACAGCCAAGGAGATTGCTAATGGTCTCTCCGATTGTTGATGAGCTTTCATTATTTCTCAGAGGTTGCTGACGTTGCTGATGTCTGAACTTCCCCGATACAGCACCATTTAGTCACATGACCATATACTCTGGTGTACTACTGTTCTGTGAAGACTGTGACATCACTAGCAACCTCATGACCATGCCATGAGATTCAGAAGAGAATTGGACAGCAGGAAAACCGCAATGATTGCACTGCGATCATGAGTGGATATCAAAGGAGAAAGACATTAGTGGTACTCAAAGTGTGTTAACGCAACATGTGTATCGGCATGTTCTCTTCCCACTTGCAACAGATCTCAGGCAAAGAGTTCCTCATTGTCATCCAAAATGAGTTCTCGGGAAATGTCCAGGACGGCTTGTCATCTGTCGGTAAGTGTTATCTTCAATCTTGCAGTGGTTGGAACATGCACTATGATGCCGGTGTTTCATACGAGAAGGACTATTGCTTTTCGTGAACAATACTCTAACCAACTGAGCTACAAGGTCCCTTGTTTTAAGCCCCATTGGTGTGACTGGTGATTTCTTCTTTCTTTCGTATCTGGCATGCAAGTGTTGAGGTTCCAAGAGGATACGAGAAGAAGCCTGATTTCCTAATAATTTTAAATTCTCCGTGAAATCTAAACTTCGAACGGCCCTGCACTGTATTCACCAACACTACTCTGAGACTGCTGCCTGTACCGTTGCTGTTTGTTCCCATGCGATAGTAATGGTGGCTTCAGATCCTGTGATGTACTTCGCTCATCTGCTCCACAAGTCGATGGCAGGCGCCGGAACGGACGAGGACCGGCTCATACGTGTCGTCGTGTCCCGTGCAGAGGTAGGAAACTGTGACGCAGTTGAGCACGTGCATGGCTGTATTTCATCTAAAGACGGATATTCCCTAGCTCAACTCAATCAGGATTACACTCTGGATGTTGTAGGACCTGTACAGAGAGATTGATATACTCCAGGGATAATAATTCATATTTTCGTTTCAAAGTATAGCTTCAAAAAGCCCCCGGGCCCCTTCCATCCGCCCCTCACCTCCCCCTAACAGGCTTCTGTAGTTCTGAAGTAAGCACAACATGATGCTGGTTTAGAGAAGGAATCTTGGTGCAGGCTTTGTGATGATGTTGGCCACTAAACCTCGGCGTCAGGCGAAATTACTGGTCAGTCGGCGTCACGCATTTTTCACAAAAATTTGCGTTTCACCTGCTGGGAGAGTATGCGTGTACTCGAGTCTCATCCTGAGCACGTTTTTTTCTTTCTTTTTTCAGCTCCAGTATAGCTGTATTTTTCATTGCAAAGCCGTCCTAGCTCGATTGTTGTGTTCGTTGTTCAAACGAAGTGGACATTCAATCATGAAGGCAGAGGACATAGGAGCCTGATTGGAGTTTCTCGTGGCATAGGACGGCCACACAGAGACACTTTGGGATGTTCTGAATATAAAATACCGTACGCACGATGCTGAGATCAATGTGTGCGATATCAAATTGTTTGTGATCTACCACATCGAGCAGAACGGGATCCAAACACAAGCTTACCAACGGTTAGGCAAGCTTACCAACGGTTAGGCTGCCGACCTGACTGGACAAATGATCCCTGGCTTCACCAGACGCCAGAAGTCAGACACCATGTCCTTTGCCGCGACGTCCATCTCCAAAAAGAACTCCATCTTCGTCGTGAAAAGGCTTGAAATACTCAATATTCAACCAAGATTCGCGGTCTCACGCTTTCTCAGATCCAATCATTTTTTGTTGTAGCAGTTGCAGGGTAGATCCCCGCCACTACTTCAACAGAAGATGGCTCCAAAGCATGCCTGGAACAAGCCATATCGAGGTTGCAAGCCACCCCTCTCAGCACTTTTTTTGAAGAAATTCGAAATTTCAATGGTGGAAGATATACTATGAAGAGAATTTCAAAAAGTATGTTTCGCGGAGCAATCGCTCAACCTACGTCATTCAAACTTTGCAGGATGGTTCAGACGTACATGCTAGGCATGGAACCACAGAAGATGATATCATAGCTGACACACAGAGTCACACACACAGCAGATTCGTGTGCACAGATACTAAATTAGTGGACGTCGTCATCTTCTTCCCGCTGATCTCAAATGTACTATGACGTGCTATTTCGCCTGACGTGACACGCATGCGCCGGGATCAACCCCTACCACACTGCTCTATGGCCAGTCGATCTGCTGTGCCCCAGTGTGTTGTTCTTCACGAATGAGAAAATAACTATACACTGCCCATGCACACATACTATGCACTGCCCATGCACACATACTATGCACTGCCCATGCACACATACTATGCACTGCCCATGCACACATACTATACACTGGCCATGCACACATACTATGCACTGGCCATGCACACATACTATACACTGGCCATGCACACATACTATGCACTGGCCATGCACACATACTATGCACTGGCCATGCACACATACTATGCACTGGCCATGCACACATACTATACACTGGCCATGCACACATACTACACACTGGCCATGCACACATACTATACACTGGCCATGCACACATACTATACACTGCCCATGCACACATACTATACACTGGCCATGCACACATACTATACACTGGCCATGCACACATACTATACACTGCCCATGCACACATACTATACACTGGCCATGCACACATACTATACACTGGCCATGCACACATACTATACACTGGCCATGCACACATACTATACACTGGCCATGCACACATACTATACACTGGCCATGCACACATACTATACACTGGCCATGCACACATACTATACACTGGCCATGCACACATACTATACACTGCCCATGCACACATACTATACACTGGCCATGCACACATACTATACACTGGCCATGCACACATACTATACACTGGCCATGCACACATACTATACACTGGCCATGCACACATACTATACACTGCCCATGCACACATACTATACACTGGCCATGCACACATACTATACACTGGCCATGCACACATACTATACACTGGCCATGCACACATACTATACACTGGCCATGCACACATACTATACACTGGCCATGCACACATACTATACACTGGCCATGCACACATACTATACACTGGCCATGCACACATACTATACACTGGCCATGCACACATACTTCGAAGTACATGTACCAGTAGTGCGCATATACTTTTGGGGTTTGTTATTGTCTGCCTTTGTCTTTGCTTGATGTGCTCCTGGACACGTCGGGTGATGCGGCCGCGAATCCGGCTAACTCATTTCTTTCTTTTTTTGGCCTGCCTCACTGCACCACTCACAGATCGACTTAGGAGATATCAAGACAGCGTTCCAGCAAACGTACGGCAAGCCGCTATCCCAGTGGATCAGAGATGACTGCGGTGGCGACTTCCGTCGCATGCTCCTCGCAATCACCAAGGAATAGACGAGTGGAAGCCCAGTCCCGGTGACCATGACAACATTCAAATATAGTAGCTATAGTGACCAGCGCAGCAAGTCATTGGCAAACACTCGTATCTACAAATTAATGACGGACAGTGCTTTCATTTCAAACGCTTCACTATACAACAGAATACACGTATAGTGCATGCTTGCCTGTGCTGTTATACAAGATTTTCTCCATATTCAACGCTAGCTCTCAGTGGGAAAATCATGGCAGTGTGCACCCCTAAACATCATGGTAGGTGAAGCGGCACTGTTTCAAAGAGCAGCACACTCATCTCACACTGAGTGCAAAGTTCTTTCTATACACTAGTTGTTTTCTATTTTTTTTATATATATGTACTTCATTTTTGTCTGAACTAAGATGTTGCGACATCGGCGGTAATTGCTGAAGAAAGTGTCCAAGTAACAGAAACAAAAATAAAATTAATGATGGTGATCCCCAATGAGCTTGGCTTACAACATACAGTCAACTTTGCTTATAACGACACTCGGCGGGGCATCAGAAAAGTGTCCTTATTCGCGAAGAGTCGTTATACCCGAAGTCCCATTACCGTATATGTATTACAGTCGGCTGGGACTTTGCTCTGGGCATGGAAATTCTGTCGTTATATTCGCAGTCGTCATTAGCGAAGTTGATTATAGTCCTTTCCAAGATATAAGCAGTTCACGCACACCAGTAAGAATGGGAAACTCCAGTGCATAGGACACTCGTATTCCGATCCCGGCCGTAGGTGTTCTCTAGGAATTATTGTTTCTACTATTTTGCTTCCGTGCTAATCATGCGGCAGTATCCGACTGCACAGACTCCGTGCCCCGCTAGCTGGGGGGATCCTACACATACCCGATCAAGAGTAGATATTAAAGCTCCCCAGGAGCTTACATTGTAGTATGTACTCAAGTAATGTACACAACTAAAGTAGCGAGAATTCCCAGATTGCCCAGAGTGGTCAACACCACAATTTACTTGGCACAAGGATGGAGTTGGCTGAGGATTGCCTTAGCTTTGCTACATGTATGTGCATGACACGCAGCGTTACAGCAATTACTTACAAGCCGGTTGCCTCTGTTCTCTTCTGCCTTTGTGTAGATATGCATAATCATAATTATGGACATAATAATTATTGTAGTCTTGATGCCCTGCACTCTACAGGTGTACGGTTCCTGGTGTACACACGGTTCGATTGGCTCAAATTCAACTCGGATCGGGCTCTAATTCACCCCGAATTCAGCTCTACAAAAGTTCAACCCGGACTAAACTGTAATTCAGCCCGGATTGCGACAAAAAACACAAAAACTCGTAGCATCCATCAGGGAGTCGTCATACTACCGGTATTACTAGAGTGACCAGGGAGTCGTATCGACCCCCTGATACTGACGACTCCCTGTCTACTATTAATTAAGTATTATCATTGCCTTGGTACAAGCACACAGTCAGTGATACTGATAGCTGCATTTACATAACGTGACATAGTCATGTTTTTACTCGTCTTGTAAGTCCACTTTCTTACCTACATGTAGGTCGGATTCGTCACAAAAGCATTACTCGTTGTGCTGATTAGTAGCTAGGTGCTACTCAGCTAGCAGGAGGCCGCACTCAGACACTTACCGCAGCATGATATTGATGGCGAACGATTTTTCTCCTTCAGTGTTCATTATCAAATCAAATTTTGATAGGGCGATCCGCACAGGCCTAAGGCCTTCTTACAGGGTAGACGTCTACCGTAGAAGTGAAAGTACTGACTCGAAATTACGGAATAGATGCATAGCAGCGAAGAGCATAAGCGGACTGCAGCAGGGAGTGCACTCCACTGATGGCTGTCAATGGTATGTCTATGCGTCCCATCGTCGTCCGACACACAACACACGAACACGGTCCTTGCTACACCACAAAAAAAAAACGATTCGGCAGCCGAATTTCCACCCGGGAGGGCATCATCAGAGATAGAGGAGAAGCCATCCAAAGTTATCCGGTCAGTAGAGAGGTGATAGAAACAGCGCAAGAAAGAAGAGCTAAAAATAACAACGAAGAATGCGTGACTCATACTTCAGAGAAACTTTCGAGATGTTGTTGAAGCGCATGAAGTGTGTCACTCCTTCAGTGTTCATGAGCTCAGTACAGTACTGTATTTTAAAAATAAAGCCTTTATAAAATAAGTCCTGGGTCAATATTATTGAATTCTTGGCAACACATACACTGAGTACAGTCATGTACACCTGGTATACAGGGGACCAAGTTCTGGAGACTTTGAAACGGTAAAAATTGAGATGTAAGCTCCCACTGAGGAATTATGGAACCGGATGGAGAGCCAAGGATGAATTTATAGCAAAGAAAAAAAGGACCAAGGAACTACAAGTTACGCTATAACGTCCACTAACACCACCAGTACAATACTTAGCCCGAAATACCAATGTGCTATAGAATTACAATGCAAACTTCGTACATGAACAATGTGATCATGTGCACGTATTAGCAGCCTGACATTGTGGGGTGAACTGACGGTTCGATGATTTTGATGTTCGGGTACCCTAATGCCAGCATAGTTTCCCACGGTTCGGGTATTGGTTCCACGCACTGTTTTCTCCAGACCAACAAAAATGCGTTTGTGACAATTATTCTTTAGAAAACATGTTTACAAGCAGGCGCGTGCTCGGCGATGGGCACGGGGGCACGTGCACCCCCCAAAAATTTTCAATCTGGGTAATTGCAATTGTAATGTATGCAAATATGCTCTAAAATTCAAGAAAGGTTGCAAACAAATTGCCGGGGGGGGGGCTCCCCTCGGCTCCCGTGCACCCCCCTAGTTGGGGGGCCGAGCACGCCCCTGACAAGCAAGAGAGTCCATGTGCGAAGTAGATAATGACCAGCCAGGAGAACCCTTTGGAAGGGCGGTGATCGTAATGTAAGACATTTTTAAAATCTTCAATAGACTTGACGTGTACATGTATTTGCACGAGAACGAGATTTTCGAGTTTCGGTTCAAAATTTGACGGAACGGGTACCCGATTCTTTTCAGCTGGCGGTTCCAAAACCGGTTTCTTACCCGAACCGTTTCACCTTTGATTAGGATGTGATGAATAAACTAGACGATTGCCATTGGAGCACACCATATCCTGACGATGCACAGTGCTTCCCTCGAGAAAAACATTATTAATTAAGATCGAGCCCAACCCTGCTGCATGTGAAATGTTTCCGAAGATGTACCGGCACGGTCCGGATCAGCAGCCAATAGTACAGTCATGTAGGCAAGGCAGAGTACATGTATTATGTCATAGTCGCAGAGAATTATGTCGTAGCAGTCGACTAGTAGCCTCAAGTCAAGAGGGAATAGGCTGCCAGGGAGCTTACATCTTGCTAGCTGCATGCACTAACCTACGTGGAGCGTTGCAACTACAAAAATTAGATACAATTCAGATTGCATCAAGTTGAGTCATCAGCTCGTGAACAACGCGATGCATTGGTGGCCGCTCTTCAGGATCGGCCTTGATGCACTGCTCAGCAAGATGACGATAGGCATACGGTATGCTTGGTGGGAAGACGAGCTTGCCACCGCTGGAAATTTCATCCAGAATATCATCAGAGTTGTGCAGGTGTCCATAAGGTATCCTGCGAGTGGACAGCTCCCACATCACCACGCCAAAGCTACATGTACAGAGAGAAAGAAATAGAAACACCAGGTACCAGTGACCACAAAATCTTGCAATTAAAAAGTTTAAAAATGTTGAAAGGATCAATCAGGGAAGTGAACTGCCTGAAAAGAAAAAAAATGCCAACCCCACCTGGCCTGGACTCGAACCCGGGACTTGCTTGTCATGAGGAATGCTCTGACCATCTGAGCTACAATTTATGGGACCAGACTGCACCTGGAAGGCGGCGACAAGTTTTTCACTCCAAAGTCAGCTCACAGCATGTGCCACACATACTAATGACACTTGGGTCGTTTCAAAGTCCCTCACCAGGGGACCAAGCACGGTCAGTTTCTGGAACGTACTACCGGTATATGCATGTATACCAGACCGGTAAAAGGAAGTGATTGGTTGGTCACCGGCCCTGGGCCATGGAGAAGGAAAAGACCCAAGTGCCATCAGTTTGTATTATATTTATATTTATTACATCTCAAGACTCGGTGGAAACACTTTGTGTATCACGTGTTGTGAGCTGCCTTTGGAGTAGGCCCAGACAGATTCTTCTCCGCTCGCCTCGATATTTTGCCGCAAAATGTTGCTGCGAAATCTTCGATATTTTGCCGAGCCTGGCACAAGAAACTCGATATTTTGCTCCAGTTTGCTCCTGGAAAACGTGTATTTTATCCACTTCCCGTACGTTTCATAAAAATTGCAGTGTCAGTTTCTCAGCACGGGTTTCCACACACGTGTCCCTGAGTTCTTCCAAAATCATGTCGATAAACAATGAATCCCAGTGATCATGGTGATGTTTCGGTGAAATGATCTCGTCCTGGGCAGTGTATCCTGCTGAACGGGTAAGAAACAAGGAAATCCAAGTATCAGCAACGATTTTACCCAACATTTCGATATTTTGCTCCTATTTTGCCGGCAATTTCCGCTCTTTCAATTCTTCGATATTTTGCCGAAAGAATTGCCGGCAGGATCTGTCTGGGCCTACTTTGGAGTGAAAAACATGCGCCTTCTGGGTTTGGCCTGGTCCCACAGCTCTGATGGTTAGACTTAGAGCATTGCTCATGGCGATCATGCAAGGTCCCGGGTTCAAGTCATGGTCGGGTTTGGATTTTTTTCTCTTTTTAATTTCAGGCAGCTCACTTCCCCGGCTGACCCTTTGAAATTTGAAGTTCTCCCAATCCTCTGCAAGTAAAAAATGTTTCACTTTGAATAGAGATTTAGTGGCAGAAATACATGTACAACTCCTCGGAGTCCGACGAGTAACCATGGTAACACGGAAGCCATCGGCAATGATTGTGATGTTGTATCGCGCCGGCGGCGGTGATGACTCCTGAAATCCATAGAGCAGTACTATGACAATATGAGCATGTGAGTAGCACATTTCATCTTCTGTCTTCACGGTCTGTGCTAGAGCTGTGCTAGAGCTGTGTGCCGCATTGCTAAACTGAAGCCTGAAAGGTGAACTGTGTATGTGTGTGCGTGCAAAAGAGGAATGTGCGAACATTTTGACAGATTTCTCTTTATACTGTAGATGCCATTGTCCTATCACCTTCCACTGCACATGTATCCGTTCAGTTCCAACCAAGAAGTTCAGGGTAGACCTGACGGATTATGCCGAGTGAAAATTGGCTGAATTTGGTACTTTTGGTTTCATGCCTGCTTGGTATGTGAACAAAGAAATGGAGCGGAATTAAAGGAAGTGCCTGCCATAAGTTCTGTAAGGTTCTGTCAAGAGTTGCTGATTTTCGAGCAGAATCTTCCAATTTTTCGAGCATTATCTGCCATGGGCTAGCTCAGATCCATAAGCCGCATAGTATTGTTGGTGCTCACCTGTATACGTCGTGTTTCTCCGTGTACATATTCTTCTTGATAGACTCAGGTGATCTCCAGCGATCAGTACCTACTCCGCACGTCATTCCAATGCGTGATGTCATAGCCTCTGCGTCTGAGTTTCTGTCCATATCAGGATCACTATGGTTAACATCACTGGATGCACTGGACAGTAGAGGTGCTGTCAGCCCATCAGACTGCTGCTGCTGCTGGCTTGTGAAGGATGTAGTACGAATGGGACCATTCCCATGTCCTGTCTGCTCAGCCCCCGTTGGCGTTGAGGTCTTATTCAACTCGGCGTTTGCATGCAGGATGGCCAGGAATCGTGTAGTTTCCATGTCAGCCACTTTCACCACCCATTTATCACTGACAAGCAGGTTGGCTGACTTGAGATCACGATGAATTCTCGGAGGACTTGTGTTATGGAGATACCTTACACCACGTGCCGCATCCAGAGAAAAGCGAAGTCGATCTGATTGTTCAATGGCATTGGACTGATCATGCAGAACATCATAAAGTGAGCCTCGCCGTAAGTATTCCATCACTAGAAATGGCCGACCCGATCTTTTGTCTCTTCCCGCTCCCAAGAACATGACAATATTGGGGTGGCGTAAGGTGCGAAGAACTTCAGCTTCCTGGATGAATGCATCATATGGTGATTCAGTGGAAACAAATGGAGGAAGTTGTTTGACAGCAACAGGGATGTCTCCTAACTCAGCCAGTAGCACTTTGCAGAACCTTCCAGTGGCCAATTGTTTTCTGATCCTCAGATCAGACCAGGCAATACGTGTTCCATGATCGATTTGGCTGAGTTTCCTTTTGGAGCGGTAAAGGTCACGATTTGTGTTCACAAGTTCAATTTCCTTGGCGTGCAACGCTCTCTTCTTTCTCAAGAACTGAATAAGGGAAATGACCAGTGAAGTCCCCACGATCGTGAACATCAGGGCTGCGACTAATATGAGATACACCATTGGAGTTTTACAATCATCGCTGGGAAGATATCCGAATTGACAAATGCAGGCATGTTTGAAGTTTTCTTCGTCCACGATACAATCTCCATGCTGATTGCAAGTGTGAGGTTTGCATGGGCTCTCCGGAGCACAAGATGTAGCTGCCACGTCGGTGGATGTCAGTGATTGGTTGCATTCGATGCATGGTTCTTGCAGAGTAGATGAGTAATACCCAAGTGAACACGCACGACACGCATTGTTTTCGTCATGCTCATATCCTCTGGGACACAAAGTAGCAGTGTTTAATTGGATGAAACGGCGCACTCCACGTCCATCATTATTGCACAAGCCATCCACCATACCACCAAACACCATGTCGCCGAGAACAATATGGTGTGTTATACGTTCTTTGAAGAATGGAGTCCATGTTGCGACTGTCGCCGTTTGGTTTGTTGTGAACTGAAGCAACATTGCCCATTCTGCGGCACATTCCTCCCCGTCCGCATCCTTGTAGCGCCCTCCAAGGAGAACTAAGTCCTTGTTATTTGCAAAGGCTAGACTATGGGCCCATCGGCTTGGGATGTTTGGACTGGATGGAATATAATGAACGATCACATTGCTAGCAGAGCGTATGTCGAGAAACGTGAGTCGGGAAAGAGAAGGCACAGGTGGAAATCCGCCGAACAGAAGTACTCCATATTCGGTTGCTGTGGCTGTGTGGCCGTACTGGTTGGATAGGGAACCTTTCATCACGTGTGCTGTGAGGTTATGCCATCTCCCTGTGCAGAGATCTTCGTCGTCCATGATGAACATCCACAAATCACCCAGGGCAGCCAGGGCGACATCACTACTCGCTGGGTCAAGACCACCATGTACCACCATGGCTGTGGAGTTGTACCGGAATGATACATGCTCTCCTCGCGGAGGGGGAGTAGTCCTGGTTTGAACAGTTGCTTGCATCCAGAAGTTTATCTGAAGGTTGAAGCACCACGGATATGGGTCAAAGTCTCCAATGACTTTACCGTTGCTTTGTGTTTCGTAACCTCCATACATGACAACTGTCTTGTTTGTAATCAAGTTAACAGTGTGATATTGACGGCGAGGACAGGCTGGTCCAGGGTCCGGGTACAGAAGTGTGTATTCGTATTGACCCTGCGCCACGGTTCCTATTGTATCTTTGTAGTCTCGTAAAATCCACACGGCCATGGGAAATACCTTACCAGGCTGCTTGGAGTAAGGAAAATTGTTTGCATCCCTGATCACGTGACTGTCTCCTCCGAAGAACACAAACTTGTACTCAAGTTCCTTTTCTGCAGCACTTGCCGGAGCTTTGACCACAGATGGCCTCACGGAAGACATAACGTTATTTTCCTCTTTTTCAAGGGAAAATCCAGGAAATTGATCAGAAATTTGTAACAGGTATGGGTAGACTACCGGTACTTGCTGAGTGAGGTAAAGCTGATTGCGGTGAATGGGTTCGCATGCCGCGTTGATTTGTGCTAATATCACTTCCTTTCCTGTCGCCGATGTGAAAATGAAAGAGGGATCCGATGAGGACATGTGATATGAACACATATCAATGAGCGGCGCCAATGTGTATACTGGAGCAGATATTGCTGTACAGCCGGCCGACCACTGCTGAATATCACACACTATGAAGGAACACAGGAGGTTTTTGGGGTTGCACGATTTGTCTCTAATGAGCACCTTTCTCTGAGAAGCAACGTATGACACGTCGGGTGGCGTAGGTAAGCAGTTCTTTTGGGCTGGCCTGTTGAATCCGTTGCCGCGGTTTCCCAGGTCTATCCACGTCCTTGATGATAGGTTGAATCTCCAGATTTCTGGCGAAACTTGTACATTCACCTTAGATTTTGAAGAGTGCACAGGTTTCCATCCACCAATGAATATCAGTGACGTGTCTCCATCAGCAAAGAGTCTGGCGAAATGTCGCGCCTGTGGGACTTGGTGTCCATCCGTTTTCACATTTTCCCATTTGGCGATAGAATCATTGTGCCGTCCGCCTTCGATGAGTACCCGATGTAGCTGGGCATGTGACGAATCAGTCCCAGCATAGCCGCCATATGATATCAGGTAAATGCGTGACGAACTCAGTGGATGGCCTGCTCTGCCAGTTGGCATGCGAGCACTAACGGTAACCAGAGTTGAACCGATCTCTCCAGCAGCAGGACTCCCTGGCAAGTACTGTCCCTGTATACTCATGACTCTTGTTGTCCTATCGCCATACACCAGTAGCCAATTGTTGCATTCACCAGGGCCCGGAAAACCATGTAGAAAGATCTCTTCCTTGGACGGGGACAGAGCTACATTTGGCATTCCTTGGAAGCAGCAGCACTTCGGACCCAGAGCTCTGCGCAAGTTGATTTCACGTTCAAACACTTGCCACGTCTGGCCACCCACATAGCTTGTTTCGTACACTGCCACGCCTAGATATGCTTCTGCACCTTGAAACTGTTTGTACATGTACATAAGATGGGGAGTATACATACTTCTGTTGCTTTCCCGGAACATGATGACGTTATTGATCAACACCATCCATGTTGATTCGTTCTCGTGAGATAGCGGACCAAATAAATCCGCGGGCAAGGGTTGGATGGGATAAGCGGCAGTTCCCTTCAGTGGGCAACCTGTGTCCCCTGCGGACAGTGGCTCAGACATTAGCAGAATGAAAAGCATGATGTACAGGAGCCATCCAGTTCCATGACTGAGCATGACGACCGCCTGATGGGCCGCAGTTGCACGAGTGGCAGTTCTGTTACGCTTCCTGAGCACTGACATCCGCACAGGCATCACTAATCCCAGAAGATAGTCTGCAGTGGTGTGAGAAAGACTGTTGCCTTCCTAGCTACATGCACCACTGGTCACACTTGCACTGCAGTCTGCAGTCTGGCACATGGATTATGCCCACGAGACCGGGGCAGTCTATCACTGGTGTTCTGTTGGTAGGGCAGGGACCGACCTACATCGTACACTGCACTTCCAACAACTACACAAGAACGAACAACGCTGCACAAGGTGCGGACGATTAAGACGGAGTCCACATCGATCGCTCTAGATTGCTGCAAGTAGTGTTTCAAATGAGATTATGATGACCTGAACAGTTGAATGCTTGAAGAAGAAACTGAGGCGACTGGTGCCGTGGTTGTAATGTAGTCAACGACTGGCATGTCTGCTTTGCACACGTCACTGATAAGGACTGGGCGATGGGGCAAGTGGCGGAAGTACTCAATTTCAGCAAGGCTTGAATAGCCCGGCTTGGCGGATACCGGTAATGTTCGAAAACCTGGCAGATTACGCTCGAAAAGCAGCGAACTTGGCAGAACCATACAAACCTTATGGCAAGCACCTCCTTGAATTCTGCTCCATTAATTTATCCACATACCGCGGCAACGTACATGAAACACACCGGAAAAAGTCACAAGCTATCACTTCTAGTAATAAGACATTATGGTGCAAGTGAGAGAATTGTGACTACAGCCACGTTTCTACCATGTTGAGAGTTGATAGCCAGGCAAGTAGTGGCGATGATAACAGTTAAAGGGGAAGTTAAGGCAAAAATTAAAATTTCACCAGTTGTAGTCTTCGGGGTGCTGGGTCGAATGGTCGTGGTCCGAGGAAGCTGCGACGCTCCCTTCCTACTTGAATCCCAATCGAACTCGCGCACTTCCACCGAAACTGGGTGACTGCGCCCTACTAGATGGGGATTTGTATGCAAAATGTCACTAAAAGCGCCATTTCGTTCTTATAAAAGTATGGATGACCGCGATTGGCCCATATGTTGTAGTCTTTTGGACGCTGAGTCGATTGGTTTTGATCCGAAAAGGCTGCGATGCAGCGTTCCTCCTTTATTCCCAATCGAACATGGTTGAAGAAGCGGTCACGTGCTCATGCGTACACCAGTCACCTGGTCACCGTGCCTGCAGGGTACAACTACTAGCCTGTTTGACCTTTTTTGGGTGCAATCCTGTCACTCGAGTTGAACTCGAGTTGAACCTTGGTGTGAAAGTTCTCGCCTGCTGGCGTGGTGATCAGGTGATTTGGGCACCCAGGAGCACGTGACCGCTTGTTCAACCATGTTCGATTGGGAATTAGGGGCGAACGCTGCATCGCAGCCTTTTCGGACCAAAACCAGTCGACTCAGCGTCCAAAAGACTACAACATATGGGCCAATCGCGGTCATCCGTGCTTTTATAAGAACGAAATGGCGCTTTTAGTGACATTTTGCATACAAATCCCCATCTAGTAGGGCGCAGTCACCCAGTTTCGGTGGAAGTGCGCGAGTTCGATTGGGATTCAAGTAGGAAGGGAGCGTCTCAGCTTCCTCGGACCAAGACCATTCGACTCAGCACCCCGAAGACTACAACTGGTGAAATTATAATTTTTGCCTTAACTTCCCCTTTAATAATACTAGTGGTTACTTCATACTCAATCAAACCAGTAACTTCATATAATAGTCGCCTGATGATTGCATTGAGCAAGAAACTCTGAGTTGCGATAAATCTGTGAACCTCCGTTGTGCCTTTTTGTGTATAATATAATGTAAGTTTTTTGAGTGATGTGTGTGTATGTGTTTGTGTGTGTGTGTGTGTGTGTGTGTGTGTGTGTGTGTGTGTGTGTGTGGGTGTGTATGTGTGTGGGTGTGGGTGTGGGTGTGCATGCGTCAAATATGGAGTGGTTGAATGTTCAAGATTCTCAACTTCAAGTCGTGCGTCGCTATCCATTAGAGGTGACAAATCAGAGATCTCGCGCTCGGTGCCATGACACTATAGTAGTAGTAACAGCAAGTGTGGAATGTCAGAATGCCAAAGAGCTTCAGCAGGAAGCCTCCTCTCCCATCACGTCATGTACCACCAGTACAGTCATTGTTGCCGGTAGATTGACAGCATGAAACAAGGTGGAGGACCCACTGTGTTCGGAAACAGTGACCTTACTACAACCATCCACGCCGGTTGGCAGAGCCCCGGTCCGTTGGGACCATCTGAACCATATGGGTGTTGAACCCAGTTCTGACCCTCATTATGCTAGGGGAGTTTTAGGCTTCTCCTAACGTCAGTCGTGTATTCTTTGATCGCTCCTGGATGTCGTCTTGATAGTCATGTAGCTACTTTAACCTGAATTGTTTTTATTAAATCATTTTTCTTCCAACTTCTGCCATGGCTTTCAGAAAAACAATTCAGGTTAATGTATCTACATGACTATCAGGACGACATCCAGGCCAGGAGCGATCAAAGAATACACGACTGATGTTAAGAGAAGTCTAAAACTCCCCTAGCATAATGAGGGTCACGGGTTCAACATTCATATTGTTCGGATGGTCCCAACGGACCGGGGCTCTTCCAACCGTGGATGGTTCTACTAGTAAGGTCACTGTTTCCGAACACAGGGTCCTCCACCAGTCCACCTTGTTTCATGCTGTCATTTGTCAAACTACCAACATGTGTGAACTACATTGTATAACAAGGTTTGTCTAATACATGTATTAGTATTGTGCTAGTATTTGGTTATAATATAGTGTTGAAACGAATAATCGAATAATCGAATAATTTAGAATATTCGTGGGGTGAACGAATAATCGAATAGTCGTAGGAATTATCAGAAATCGAAAAAAAAAAAAAAAAAAAAAAAAAAAAGATCTACAGTGTACCGTATTTTCCGGAGTATAGTGCGCACTTTAGATGACTGTGCTATTTTAGGCCCTAAATCGCAGGTGCGCACTATGCTCCGAATATGAAATGCATGTACATGTACTTCAATGAAGATTGAAGTGCGCACCCCCAATGAAGATTGGGGGTGCGCGTTGTTGTTGTTGTTGTTTATTTTACTTCACCAAATGAACAGGCAGAGATGCCTTCTCACCTGCGCGTGATACAAAGGTGCGCAATATACTCCGAAAAATACGGTATGCTCAGTGCTGACCCTACTGATATTTGCACTGCGTAGATATGCTCGCAGAATTTCTTCTCAATCTCTTCTCCTCCAAGTTTTAATCTCCTATCGGTATCTTGTGTTACTTCTGTTCTTTCCATACGAGGGAAACATGGATGCAGTGAATGTGATTTTCGGTCTTTGACCACTTTCGACCAAGAGTCAAGACCCTATGCAGAGCTAGATCAGGCATTGCACACTCTGGGGGGTTATGTACTCTTGGCGGTACAGGTTAACCGGTTTTGCACCTCCACATAACAAAATCCGATAATCAGCAAAAAAATTAAAAAAAAACTACTTAAAAAGTGCTGAAAAAGTGTTGAAAAATGCCATCATGCGTATTTATTTATTTATTTATTTATTTATTTATTTATTTATTCAACATCTCCTGGCCCGTCCGAAGACTGCCAATAAACATGAGAGGTCAGGTGATAGCCAACCACGGCAAGCTAAAAGGGAAAAAAAAGAAAGATGCTGTCAGAGAGGGAAAGGAGATAGGGAGAGAAAAAGAAAGGGAGGCACATTAATAATACATGGGATCACTTCGGATGAGACAGTGTGGAAAGCTGGACTGTGAATTTCCTGCTATCCTGGCATGTCTTAATGCTAGTAGGCAGGTTAGACCAAAGGGAGTATGCTGAGAAGAAAGGGGATTTCAAAAACAGAGAGGAACTAGCTCGGGGCAGTGATAAGGCATTGCGTGTTGGTCTAGTGGTAACAAACCAGTTGTACTTGGCAATATGTTTCGGGACTTGGGCTAGGAAGATTTTTTGCACAAGGATACAAAGATGCTGCTGATGTCGGGCAAGAAGAGGGTGCGTGGAAGCAAGTTTATAAAGACAAAGGGAGGCAAATGTTTGGTCTTTTCGAAACAGAATTTTCAGAAGCAAGCGTTGATGTACCTCCAGTCTGTGGAGTAAAGTCTGAGACAACCCGCACCAAGCTATATCGCAATAGTCAAATATAGGCAAAATGTACGACTTAAAGAACAATTCTCTGCAGTTATCATTCAAGTGTTGGCAGTGGGGTTGTAGCATACCTAAGGACGCACTCGCACGCTTGCACACAGACTGGACTTGTGGAGACCAGGAGAGTTGGCGGTCGAGAATAACGCCCAGGTGCTTGTGCTCGTTAACAACTTTAATAGGTGTACGATTTAGACCAGGAAAATACAGAAGTTGAGTGGGGGGCGAGGGAGAGAAGAACATGGCCTCGGTTTTGGCGAGGTTAGGCTTCAGTTTCCAGGTTTCCATCCATGTTACTGTAGCGTTGACCCCGGACTGCATGGAGGCCGTGAGGTTGTCTGCCGAGCTGTCGGAGCACATCAGAGCAGTGTCGTCAGCAAAAAGACGTATGATAGAATATAGATTATTCGTTCGATGGAGGGCGAAATTATTCGATAGATTATTCGTTCGAAGAATCCGTGTTCGGTTTAAACACTATATAATATACCATAGTACAGTCTTGTACATGTACATCGAGACGACCGAGATCAGAAAATAGACAACTAAACTAAAGACGAACAGTGGCACACTTGAAAGGTTGGCGCCTATCGGCATGAATCAAACTCATTCCACACATACAGAATGGCCTACCCGGTACCCCTACACTCTGTAGCCGCTGTGTACATGATGTAGTCTACGACTCTGAATCGCACACCCCCGCCCCCAACCCCCCCCCCCCCCCCCCCAGCCCTCCGTCTCCGTGACCAGGCCAGGCAGTGCTTGTTCTGGCATCATACGATGCTTGTCTACTGTCTAGTAGTAATACTAATACATGTACATGTACATTTAGTGCTGTAGTTGGTACTATGTATTGGTATCATGGCTTTCAAAAACAGACTCAAGTGAAGCGGAAACCCTACGCGTACATGTACAGGTCTCACGCTTCATGAACGGCCACTTGCTACACTTCAGTTCCGGATCAGCGTCTGTAAACCAGGCGTCCTTGTTCGCCATTCCTATCATCATGGTATGCGACCATGAGGGCTTCTTCGTTTCTTCTTCAACTTCGTGGGACTATTCAATCCATCAAATTCCCGTTGCTTGTAAACCCATAGGCGTAGGCCATCGACGTAACTCGACTGGTTGGAATGCGTAGAAGTCCTGGGTTGGCCATACCAACGCAACACTGCAAAGATCTTTTAGCCGCATTGCATGCTCTGTGATTATTAAAATAGAGTCGTGATATGCTGTGGTCACTTGTGAGATGTATTCACCACTCTCGCTGCACTTGCACCAGCCAGTCGACATGCATGGTAGTGGATTCGGACGCCATCTCCTGGCCTTCATGCTGGTGACGATTCTAACAGGCATGAGGACTTTGTCGGAGCCTCTGTCTCCAGAGGACACGGGGAGTCCGCTCCATCAGACGGCCGCCTATCCCATCCAGCCTGTGCCTGAGTTTGTTTTGCTGCCAACTGATGAGCTCGGATTCACACGGATGGTGTTGATCAACCAGGCCGTCATGTTCCGGGAGAGCAACAGAAGTATGTATACTCCCCATCTGATGTACATGTACAAGCATTTTCACGGGGAAACAGCATATCTAGGCGTGGCAGTGTACGAAACGGGCTACTTGGCAGGTCTGACATGGCAGGTGTTTGAACGTGAAATCAACTTGAGCAGAGCTCTGGGCCCGGAGTGCTGCTGCTTCTGGGAAATAATCCCGAGTGTAGCTTTGTCCCCGTCGAGAGAACATATCTTTCTGCATGGTTTTGGCCCTGGCGAATGCAACAACAGGATACTGGTATATGGCGATAGAACAGCAAGAGTCATGAGACCCCAACAACATTCACACTCACGCGGGATTACTACTCGGGTCGAAGACAGCGGATCCGCTCTGGTCAGCGTTCGTAAACCGAGTGCCAGGGCAGGAAATTCTTCCGGTTCGGCCGGCATTTATCTGTTGTCATTTGGCGGCTGTTCATGGCAGGACCTTTCCCCTAAGTATGGCCAATGTAAATATTCATCAAGTATCCTACATCGGATGCTCGTTCACACAAACCATTATGAGTCCGGCGGCGAATGGGAACGTGTGAAAGCAACGGGACCCAAAGCCCAACGGTCGCGACCGTTCCTCAGCCTATTTCCTGATGGAGATACTTCATTTATTTTCGTTGGCGGCTGGAAACCTGTGGGCGGTCCAGCATCTGGCACAGTGCAAATGGCGCTTGAATTCTGGAGGTTTGATCTACTCTCATGGACTTGGTTCGAGCTAGAAAACAATCACTTCAGGTCAGTCCATTTGAGGTGTTCACTGACGTCACCCGACGTATCCTATCTTGCCTCAAGCAGAACAGTGCTCATTAAGGACGAATCGTGCAGCTACCCATGCGTGTTAATTGTTTGCGATATTGGAACGAGGTCCGTGGACTGCACGACACCATCAGTTCCAGTATACTCCCGGACACTGCGCAGTAGAATCTGTCACTTACATATTTCGTCTGGAATCCGCTCCTTTATCTTTGCATCGCCGAAAGGGAACGAAATGATTATGGTCGATATTTACAAAACGATCGAAAACAATCGGACGACTTCCCGACCACACGCACTAAATCTAGAACCGTCATATAAATTCCCTGGTTTCATAGATGGAAGCTCTCCATTCAGGACAGCGGCTGTCAAAGCTCCAGTTAGTTCCACTGAGGAGTCTGAGTTCATGTATGTCTTCTTCGGCAGAAACAGTGTATTCATGGAGGACGGCCAGGATTCCTACTATGCCTCTCAACCTGCGTACTCGTTTCCCATGGCCATGTGGATTTTACGTGCCTACAGCAGCACACAGCTTCATCTTGGTCTGGGTCAATTCGAGTACACGCTTTTCTATCCAAAGCCCGGACCGGTCAATCCTCGCCGTCAATATCACACTGTCAGCTTGATTACGAATACAACAGTTGTTATGTATGGAGGTTACGAAACACGAAGCGACGGTAAAGTCGTTGGAGACATGGACCCGTATCCGTGGTGTTTCAACCTAAAGCAACACTTCTGGGTGGAAGCAACTGTTCCAACCAGGACTACTCCCCCTCCGCGAGGAGAGCATATATCATTCCGGTACAACTCCACAGCCATGGTGGTACACGGTGGTCTTGACCCAGTAAGTAGTGATGTCGCCCTGGCCCTGGGTGATTTGTGGATGTTCATCATGGACGACGAAGATCTCTGTACGGGGAGATGGCATAACCTCACAGCACACGTGATGAAAGGTTCCCTACCAAGCCAGTATGGCCACACGGCAACAGTAACCGAATATGGAGTACTTCTGTTCGGCGGATTTCCCTCTGTGCCTTCCCTTTCCCGACTCACGTTTGTCGACATACGCTCTGCTAGCAATGTGGTCGTTCATGATATTCCATCCAGTCCAAGCATCCCAAGCCGATGGGCCCATAGTCTAGCCTTTGCAAATGATAAGGACTTAGTTCTCCTTGGAGGGGCAAACAAACGTTTCCACATGTATTCCAGAGACGCAGATTGGGCATTGCTACTTCAGTTCACAACAACTGGAACATTGACAGTCGCAACTTGGACTCCATTCTTCAAAGAACGTATAACACACCATATTGTTCTCGACGACATGGTTTTTGGTGGTATGGTGGATGGCTTGTGCAATAATGATGGACGTGGAGTGCGCCATTTCATCCAATTAAACACTGCTACTTTGTGTCCCAGGGGATATGAGCGCGACCAAAACAACGCATGCCGTGCGTGTTCACTTGGGTATTACTCATCTACTCTGCAAGAACCATGCATCGAATGCAACCAATCACTGACATCCACCGACATGGCAGCCACATATTGTGTTCCGGAGAGCCCATGCAAACCTCACACTTGCAATCAGCATGGAGATTGTATCGTGGATGAAGAAAACTTCAAACATGCCTGCATTTGTCAATTCGGATATCTTCCCAGCGATGATTGTAAAACTCCAATGGTGTATCTCATATTAGTCGCAGCCCTGATGTTCACGATCGTGGGGACTTCACTGGTCATTTCCCTTATTCAGTTCTTGAGAAAGAGGAGAGCGTTGCACGCCAAGGAAATTGAACTTGTGAACACAAATCGTGACCTTTACCGCTCCAAAAGGAAACTCAGCCAAATCGATCATGGAACACGTATTGCCTGGTCTGATCTGAGGATCAGAAAACAATTGGCCACTGGAAGGTTCTGCAAAGTGCTACTGGCTGAGTTAGGAGACATCCCTGTTGCTGTCAAACAACTTCCTCCATTTGTTTCCACTGAATCACCATATGATGCATTCATTCAGGAAGCTGAAGTTCTTCGAACATTACGCCACCCCAATATTGTCATGTTCTTGGGAGCGGGAAGAGACAAAAGATCGGGTCGGCCATTTCTAGTGATGGAATACTTACGGCGAGGCTCACTTTATGATGTTCTGCATGATCAGTCCAATGCCATTGAACAATCAGATCGACTTCGCTTTTCTCTGGATGCGGCACGTGGTGTGAGGTATCTGCATAACACAAGTCCTCCGAGAATTCATCGTGATCTCAAGTCAGCCAACCTGCTTGTCAGTGATAAATGGGTGGTGAAAGTAGCTGACATGGAAACTACACGATTCCTGGCCATCCTGCATGCAAACGCCGAGTTGAATAAGACCTCAACGCCAACGGGGGCTGAGCAGACAGGACATGGGAATGGTCCCATTCGTACTACATCCTTCACAAGCCAGCAGCAGCAGCAGCAGCAGTCTGATGGGCTGACAGCACCTCTACTGTCCAGTGCATCCAGTGATGTTAACCATAGTGATCCTGATATGGACAGAAACTCAGACGCAGAGGCTATGACATCACGCATCGGAATGACGTGCGGAGTAGGTACTGATCGCTGGAGATCACCTGAGTCTATCAAGAAGAATATGTACACGGAGAAACACGACGTATACAGGTGAGCACCAACAATACTATGCGGCTTATGCCTCTGAGCTAGCCCATGGCAGATAATGCTCGAAAAATAATTCGCAGATTCTGCTCGAAATTCCGTGTGAAGTCGCCAGAACCATACAGAACCTATGGCAGGTACTCCCTTTGGCTCCATTTCTTTATTCATATTCCAGCCATGCATGAAACATACCAGCAAAGGTACCAAATTCTGACCATTTATCTGCCGGCATCGTCCGCCAAGGTCTACCCTGAGTGTAATGGTTAGAAATGTAAGCATACAGTGGAACGTGATAAGACAACGTCAACGGAGTCTACAGTATGAAGAGAAATCCATGACACAACTTTCACCCATTCTTCTTTTGCACGCGCACACACACACACACACACACACACACACACACACACACACACACACACACACGCATGCACACACAGTTCACCATTCAGGCTTCAGCTTAGCAATGACATGTAGGCAGCTCTAGCACAGACCGTGAGGTATAATGTGCTGCTCACACTCTGATAGCACTGCTCCACTGATTTTGAAGGGTCATCACCACCGCGGGCTGAGAGACAACATCACATTTACAATGGCTTTCGTGTTACCGGTACTTGACCCTCTGGAAAAAAAAACTTGCGGAAAAATTCAAAGGATCAGTCCAGGAAGTGAACTGCTTGAAATTGAAAAGAGAAAAATGTCAACCCCACCAGAACTCGAACCCGGACCTTGCATGCTTGTCATGAGCAATGCCCTAACCATCTGAGCTATGGGACCAGGCCAAACCTAGACTGAAGATGCTGACAGCCTGACAGGTTTTTCACTCCAAAGGTTATTAGGCCTATTCTTGTTTTGATTCCGACTATATTAAAATAAAGTAAAAAGTATTTGTAAGAAAGGTTTCCTCCCCACACCGGAGCTCGCGCTATTCCGCCGACTTTACTTGACACTTGACTGACTCACGACTGCCATCCAGAGCACACGAGAAGTCCATCGAACCTTCGACTCGGCAAACCTGCAAGAAAGCACCACTCCCTGCTCAAAAAGTATTATTATTATTATTATTATACGCATTCCCGCGTTGAAGTGTAGCAGCAGTATGCTGCGTCCACAGCTTCGCTTATGCAGAATGGCTTGGGTGAAAAGTATACAATCATGAATGACCTGGCAGGGCACGACATCCCTTTGAAGAATTCCAGCGACCTAGAAAGAGCACGAGCATTTGCTGCAGACAAGTCGAAATGGAGATCAGACATTGTTTATGGATGAGTTTTTGTTGACTGGAGACAGAAGCGAACTTGGCTTAATTTCAGTGTATTCTCATACATTGTTCTCTGGCCTTTGTACGCATGCTGTGGTGTTATTATTATTATTATTATTATTATTATTATTATTATTATTATTATTTTATTAGCTGGTTTTGAGGGAAAGAGACAAACGGGAAAAGTCAGAAGAAAAAATTGACTGTCACCACCAGGACTCGAACCAGGGACCCTCGCTTGTAGCCAGCGATGCTCTTACCACTGAGCTATGGTGTAGTCGTCATCCAAGCAGAGACCGTTCAATGTTTTCTTCAGACTTCGTAACTCACACTTCCTGTGAATCCACACAGGCGGATGGGACGCAGCCCTCACTGTACCCACACACTTCACGTACAAACTAGCACGCGGGGAGCCCCAAGTCATAAAATATTAACTGGTTTTGAGGGAAAGAGACAAACGGGAAAAGTCAGAAGAAAAAATTGACTGTCACCACCAGGACTCGAACCATTACTTTGTATACTTATTTATCACCACCAGGACTTTGTATACTTATTTATTAATAAGTATACAAAGGCAGCTCACAACACTTACTACACAATGACGTCATACATACTGTTGGCACCTGGCTTTGGGTCTTTTTCCTCCCCCAGAGGACCAACCAATCACATCTTTCACCTCTAGTACTAGAGGCTCAAGTAGTACCGGCGTTCCAGAAACTGACCGTGGTTGGTCCCCGTGGGGCTGGGAAAAAGACCAAAGTGCCATCAGTATGTGCGGCACGTGTTGTGAGCTGCCTTTGGAGTGAAAAACTTGTCAGCACCTTCTAGGTTCAGCTAGGTCCCATACAATGACCTTATGTAGCTCAGATGGCTAGAGGCTTAGATCATTGCTCATGACAAGCAAGGTACCGGGTTCGAGTCTTGGTATGTTTCTATTTCTTTCTCTCTGCAGCTTTGGCGTGGTGATGTGGGAGCTATCCACTCGCAGGATACCTTATGGACACCTGCACAACTCTGATGATATTCTGGATGAAATTTCCAGCGGTGGCAAGCTCGTCTTCCCACCAAGCATACCGTACGCCTATCGTCATCTTGCTGAGCAGTGCATTAAGGCTGATCCTGAAGAGCGGCCACAAATGCATCGCGTTGTTCACGAGCTGACGACTCAACTTGATGCAATCTGAATTGTAACAATTGTATCTACTGTAGCAGTAGCAACGCTCCACGTAGGTTAGTGCATGCAGCTAGCAAGAGTAAAATAATTAATTGATGCATGTAAGCTCCCTGGGAGCTTATTCTTGAATCTTGATGCTACTAGTCGACTGCTCTGACATAATGCTCTGGCACTATGACATAATGCACTGCCTGCCGGATCCCGTGCCGGTAGTCCCGGTACATCTTGAGACATTGCACATACCACAGAGCCTAGTATGCAGCAGGTCTGGGCCCGATCTACACAACTTGAGACATTCGACATTTTTGTTCTTGAAGGAAGCACTGTACATCGTGAGGATACAGTGTGCTCCAACGGCAATCATCTACTAGTAGTTCATCACATCCTTCAAGCCAATTGTATGTGGCAAATGAGATTAATAATTATTTTAAAAGGTCGTTGGCCTCTGGGTGGTGCATCTGATCTATCCTCCACCACTGTTTAGGAGCCGCATCTGATGCCTGATAGGCTGGGCGGGTAATGCTAGCATTATATCGAGCATAATTACTATTAATTAGCACTTTCTGGAGACTAGCACTGCGCTAGCATAATCCAGCAAGTTTTGCAAAACTAGCATATTCTAGCGACAACTAGCATAATAATTAAAAATTGTTGCAAAATATGGGATTTTCATGAGAATTCACAATACCCTCGCGACTAGTACCACCGCGCCTTTGCCTGCGGAGTAATGATAATTCAGTGCTTCTTGTAGTTTCTGTTTCGTTGAACACGACTTATGCTGCCAAATACATGTACATGTGTGCTGTTATCAATCTGCAACATTAGTAATCTCATGATTCCACTATTTCCATTTTTCCGAAGCAGAATTCAAGCATTAGCAGTGCTATTTTGGAGCATTATAATTATTCAAAGGATCAGTCGGGGAAGGGAACTGCCTGAAAAGGGGAAAAAACGCCAGACCCACCAGGACTCGAACCCGGGACCTTGCTTGTCATGAGCAATGCTCTAAGCCTCTAACCAACTGAGCTATGGGACCAGGCTGAACCTGGAAGGTACTGACAAGTTGTTCACTCCTAAGGCAGCTCACAACATACTGATGGCACTTGGGTCTTTTTCCCGCCCCCAAGGGTAGCCCTTTCCTAAAGATGCTCGCCACTTTTTTTCGCAACTTTCTGTTGTTTTGGAAGAAATCGCAACTTTCGCAACTTTTTTCATTTTCACAAACTATTTCGTAACTACATGTATTCCGCAACTGTGTCCAGAGGAGCGCCCCGAAGGAGACCATTGAAGTGTCCGTGGTGCTCCTATCCGCTTCAACAAGAAGCAATGAAACATTGCATATAATCATCATGACAAGTGTACTTCTCGAAGTACAAAGTACGTCCACGTGGAAGCACTCAGCATGCCGCTATGACTATGTAGGGGTAAGCGGATTATGCGGGCATAATGTTTGGCATAATCAGGTCTGGCTTTTTGAGAAGGAGTAACAAAAAGGAGAATGTCTCATTTCAAGTCTGTTCATCTTCCTATAGCTAACATGTTTTACTCTGCGAACATATGCATTCATTATGTACTTGGTTGGTTGGAATATTTTACTTCGCCAGAATGAACAGGCATTGCTGCCTTCTTGCCTGGACAAGTGGATTGTCCAAGCCCTCACAAAAAGACGAAGAAAGGAAAGAAATATCACATGAGAGTGTGAAGCATGCAATCTTATAAAATAAAGAAATTCCATGAGAGTGTGACGCATGCATTATGAGAGAGGAGAGATTTTTTTTTTTTTTTTTTTTTTTTTTTTTTTTTTTTTTTTTTTTTTTTTTTTACTAAGGCCACAGCTTCCAATCATGACATGCAAAGCAGCGATAGATTCGAGATAGAGATAGATAGATAGAGAGAGATAGAGAGAGAGAGACTGCTTTCTTGCCTGGACAAGTGAACTATCCAAGCTCTTACAAAATGACCAACAACAACAACAGCAACGGCAACAACAACAGCGACAGCGACAACAACAACAGACCAACAACAACAGCAACGGCAACACCACAGCAGCAGCAACAACAACAAGAGAGAGAGAGAGAGAGAGAGAGAGAGAGAGAGAGAGAGAGAGAGAGAGAGAGAGAGAGAGAGAGAGAGAGAGAGAGAGAGAGAGAGAGAGAGAGAGAGAGAGAGAGAGAGAGAGAGAGAGAGAGAGAGAGAGAGAGAGAGAGAGAGAGAGAGAGAGAGAGAGAGAGAGAGAGAGAGAGAGAGAGAGAGAGAGAGAGAGAGAGAGAGAGAGAGAGAGAGAGAGAGAGAGGAGAGGGAGAGGGAGAGGGAGAGGGAGAGGGAGAGGGAGAGGGAGAGGGAGAGGGAGAGGGAGAGGGAGAGGGAGAGGGAGAGGGAGAGGGAGAGGGAGAGGGAGAGGGAGAGGGAGAGGGAGAGGGAGAGGGAGAGAGAGAGAGAGAGTGTGTGTGTGTGTGTGTGTCAGAAACACAGAGAGAGAGAGAGAGGGGGGGGGGGAGGAGGAGAGATATGCGGATTGTTAAAATGGATTTCGACATGAAGTTAGGTACACAGAATGTTAATATGGGTAAAGGCTGGGCAAGTCGAGAGCCGTGGCTAGAGCTTTTTATGTCTGCCAATCACCTTCCGTACGGACTGTAACTGGGAGAGCATTCCACAGAATGCTGCTAACAAACTGAATTGAATGACGTCCAGCAGGACCAGGGAGGAACGGAACTCTCAGCAGGCTTGACACTTGACCCCGTGTCGTCCTCAGCTGAGGTGTGGCTGGGTCGTTGATCGGCACGAACAGATTCTTTAACAGGGACTTGTCTTGTCATTTTAACATTTGAAAACGAAGATGGCAAACTTCTGGAAGAGAAGCTGTGGCAAGCTTGGCACACCCAGTAGCTCGAGAAGGGGGGCAGTCGGGACCAGAGTCCTTTGCTGCAGGGTCGCTCTGACACCGGATTTTGACAGGCGGTGGAGTTTATCCAGGAGCTGCTTGGAAAGACTGGAGAAGAAACAGTTGGATCCATAGGACAGATGAGCCTGTATCATGCTGACATACCTGACTTGGCGTGCTCTTAGGCTCAGGGACCTGCCGTGTCGCCATAGCTGTCCGCCGATCTTGCGTGTTACATGGCTGATATGTGGCTGCCAGGAGAGGTCTTCAAAGTAAGCATGGCTTTGCTCAGGCAGTTGTGCTGCACCACAGTGTTTTCCATTTCCGCTCCTTTATTGGTTGTTTTTGGCATCATTTTGAGTTGCGATATCAGCAACTTTTGTCGGTGAGCTTTTTCTGAAAATATGGATGCGATTTCAGCAACTTTCACTTGTTTTGGCATGGTTGCGAAAAGCATAAGTAAAGTTGCGAACTATTTTGGCATCTTTGGGAAAGGGCTACTGGTAGTACTTGTCAAGTACCGTAACTATCTTGGCTTTATTAGCTTTGCCTTTGACTTTGAGTTTGGCCATTTGGTGTGACATGAGTCACATGACCAGATGACACAGGACCCTGTACTGTAGTGTAGGTCAAGACTAGAGTGACAAGGACCGATGTTTGGTGAATGATAGGATTATGATCACTGATCCGGCCCTGTGACTGTGAGTGGGATGATTGATGTAGACGTCATGTAGAGCTAGAGGGTCATGACGCTGTAGCATAAGACTAGGTGTCGCATCCTTCTGGCTTCACTGCGTTCGGATCCAGCTCTGGAAGAAGGTTGACTGAGAGGGTTTTCGATCCAATCCTGATCTCGTCGTTCCTTTACCTGTTTTGTTTCTTCGTGGAAATCTTCTACCTCTGCCAGATATTTCGGTAAGTGACATGTACTTGCTTCCACAGAGCTAGAGAGAGAGAAAGAGATATTTGGGGATCGGTATTGGGCGGTTGACCCGTTATCTGTCGTGCTGGCTGTAGCGGTCCGCGTGTCGGACACCAGCCTCTGTAGCAGCGCTCAAATGGCTGAGCCTAGCTATTCCGATCACATCGTCCCGGTAGTATGTTCGTTCCCCTGTTGGACCATTTTTTTCAGGTGCTGCATCAGTGTGCAGGAATGCTTTCCGTCAAACTGTGCTCATGCCGTCATGGCTGGGATGATGGCGCACAGTGATGGTCACACGGTCCGGAGCGGTGGAATGCTACTTGTTTCCGAAACACGGGCAAGGACTTTCTTCAGGAGAAGACACTCAAGCACTAGATGTTTTGAATTTCTTCAGACGTAGCTAAGAATCTGGCTGTACCTCGGTCCAGGTGTGTGGCAACCTCGCCTTGTCCTTCTTTCTTTCCCTTCTACTCCTGCAGCGCATTGCAACCCGGAGTTTGAAACAAAGCAACACGATATTTCAGCCCAAGATGCCGGTAAGTGGTGTGTGAGATCACCCCAGCCTCGTAGTTTCTACCACACCTGACGTGACCTCGTGTAGCTCCACCAAAATATTATGCTCCTTCCTTTGAAAGCGATCTCTGTAACCAGTGTTTAGTGTGCCACTGTAACTGTTACTTTGTGTAAGTGATAAGTCAGAGCGTCCCTGCCTGTGTTATGGTGATACTGGGGTACGACAGCGTGATAGGAATGTATTGTGCTTCGTGTCCATAATGGACTTGTGAAGGCTTGAGAGCTGAGGGAACGGAAACCCTCGGCCCGAACATCGACAGCACCTGTCACTGACTGTCAGTGTCAGTGACTGCGAAATCGCAGGGGCGGCGGAATCTGTGTGTGTCAGTTGGTCAGGCCATGGACGACAATTATGCTGGAAAGCCTATGGCTATGCTGTGGCCGGACTTGCTTCCGACGGGCCTGAATCATGTTGCCTTGCGCATTCTGTCATGGAAAACCCGGACAGGAAGTTCAGGAACTAACTAACGTGTTACTAAGCACTTTTTCTTGACCTTTTGAGTACGTGATGTCTTCGACAGTAATAATTATTATTACTTACAGCCTTTGCTGCTGTGGCGGTGCACCCTCCAATCTAACGCTGCTCCAAACTGAGCGACATTGTACATGATCGTGTTTTCGCAGTGAAGTGCGAAGACAACATCAATTCAGCGTATGCTCTAATCAATGAATAGGCAGGCCATCAAGTAAAATAATCATTTTGAGAACAGCGCAGCTGGTTGGGTGGTGAGGAGTTCCTATTGCATTACGCTGCTTGAATCTTGTCCTGCAGTTGCAAATAGCTCTTGATATTGTCGCCATCAGTTTACATTATCCCTGGACTCAGTCTCTTGCTGGTACTGCATTGTAGCGGATCTCTACCATCTAAGCTAGAGCTTAGTACAGGAACTCACCCAGTGATGTCAACCTCAATGACTGATTAGTGCTATGTTCGCTACTGTGCCTGTGCCTGTTCCACCAAAAAAGAAATCCCCCCTCTCCCCTCCTCCCTTCCTGCTGAGAGCTAGCAGCAAACTGGCAAGAAACCTGATTTTACTGTGTAGTTCCTGCAGCAAACCTTACTCTGCTATGGATACTAGTACGCATATCAAACTTCCAAAGCAACACTGAACACTGAGGCATTCCTAACTGGAGGCAATACGTGCAGAGCTTCCCCAGACTGGCAAGAACATGGTGCGATTAAGAACCACACAGCACGAGCAGATTCCAGCAGATACTCTGTTGTAGCTAGGGCAGGACTGGAGTTTCTTCTGTATCACTCTCACTCTCACTCAGCTACACACAGACTACAGACAGTGCTCTGATGCCACCTGTTGAGTGCTAGGCCTACTCTGCCCGCTCTGGTTGGCTGGACACAGTGCGTAGAATCATGAGACACAGCAAGCACAGCTATAGGTGCACAGGTTGCTGTAAAGTAGCACAGGTGATGCAAGTAGTTCTAAAGGGTCCCATGCATTCAGTGGGTTACATTATTTTTAATATTTCTAGTCCTGAAGGAGCTCATGCTGGGCAAAACCACTCAGAGTAGCCCATTCATATGTAGGAGTCCAGTAACTGACTTATGTCGTCTCAGGGTGAGAAAACAAACTGGAGCAAATAGCAAGAAGCACGGCTGTCCTTCCCTGTTTTCTCGCCTTAATGGGATCAACGTGAGCAAGCTCAAAGCGTGATTTTGAACAGCGGGCACCAGCCTTATCAGGGTGCTGTATCCAGATGCATCACTGCCATATCGACCAGCAGCCCCTCCTCCCCTCATAATAATTATGTGCTCATTCAACACCATGCATGAAGGCATGTTCGATTATCTGTTTGTATCTGTGTGTCTAGACCCCAACAGTTGTACCCGACCCAGGCTTCAGTGCCGAGGAGGAGGCGAAGGCCCTTCGCAGTGCCATGAAGGGATTAGGTAGGGGGCATAGTGCAGTCCACATTTTGACAATCCACATTGGCAATAAGTATGCCTTGCTGTCTGTAGATGGCGTGTACTAGTAAGCAGCAGCTAATATACTGTTGTTCCTGTGGCCACATACACACGCACATGCACACACGCACACATACACACGCACATGCACACACACACACACACACACACACACACACACACCTGCCCTGTCCTGTAGAGCCACTGCCACAGGGGTCACGTGGGCCCCGGAGGGGCATCAGAGAGGAAGATGGAGCATGCAGCCTGATGACGCCGGAGATGGTGGGGCAAACGGAACCGGCGAGAACACACGCATACATGGCTGAACGAATTACGCTGCTGGGCAGTCGGGCGCGGGCCAGTCCTCGAGCACCGGTGACGACCGCGGCCTTGCACAGACCGAAAGCAGCGGGCACACACAGCACAGTGCGCAGCACAGCAGGCATCCTGCACATAGACTTGCCAGGGCTCGGGAGGCTGAGGCTGAAGTGCGGAACAGCGGTGAACAGCTAGACCACCCTTGCTGCGAAACCAACGCCCACAATCTCCACAGTGGCAAGCCCCTCGCTGCTCAGCAATCGGCTTTGCCCGCTCAACCACACATTTGTGGCGAGCACGATCTCCAGGGCGCGAGAATGACCGATTGCAATCCGCACATACCACTGGGTCAGGCTGAGGCACATTCACACACACACACACACACACACACACACACACACACACACACACACACACACACACACACACACACACACACACACACACACACACACACACACGACACACACACACAATACACTGACACCCCCCCCCCCCCACACACACACACACATACGTATGTGTAATGCGAGGGGTTAACACAAATTGCTGTATCGTTAACACAAAATGATTAGATTTCCTACAGCCCTATTTACTTCCTTTTGTGTACCTCTTGCGTACTACGCTCTGCCCATTCCGGGCATTTGAGCGCTATTGCAGGTTAAGGCGCATAGCCTCTGTGTAGATTTCCTACCATAACATGGCCCAATATCTGAGAAAATCGACCTTCGGGGCTGTTTTGGTGAAATTGATTTTTTGTTGCAAATTGATGTCTAGCCTTTGTAGAGTATTGTCACTTCGTTTCACGGCCATCAGACCAATATTGACCATGTAGAAATGCATTTTACAGTCAGGAGTCATGTTAATGAATTGTTCTTTTTTTTTACAATTTTGAAAGATCAGTGTGTTTGGAGCCACCAAAAATTGTTTCCGTGTGATATCAATAGCCAACTAATATAGTTAAGTGTTTTGACTGTTCAGGTACTTCATTTCCAGCATTCCGTGACTTTATTGAGGTTGTGTAGTTTCAACAGCAGCAATAGCAGCATTAGAAGGAGAGGTGATTTATCTGTTCTCCTGGTGATGGACATGCTTGACAGGATAGTCTGCAACAGATTTTGACGGAACACCATGATACATGTAACAGCATTCACATACTTATTGTGAAGGAGTCAAACAGAGCAAATGCGTCCAGATTCGCCTTGTCACACTTTGTGGAGACTGACCATTTCCAAACATCAGTAACACAGCCTGACAAGCGTTTCACACCACCAACTCAAAAGTAACAGAATGTTACTACTCAAGATTGCCCAGCCTCACGTGCATGCTCCGTGATGGTCTGATTCGCCATTATTGGCTCGAGTATCGAGCTTGCCCTCCAAAACATGTTAGGATCATCGTCGCAAAGAAAACTCGCATCATTTCGTGCTGTTTTAGCAGGTCTGGCGTGACACTCAGGAAACAGTTCTGCCACCCGCGCAAGGGCGGCCAGCGACCTTGCAAGCGGCGTACCCTCAGGAATCCACCTGGTTGTCCTTGCCTGGAGCTGTAGCAGCTATCGCTGAGGCAGACTGTGGTTGGCCTTGATCATACTCATCCAGGCCAAGTCCTCATCATCGTCGCCCCCGACAGGTAAGTACCGCGTGTCACTTGCGATCGATTCGACTGACATGCGCTCTCAGAACTAGAAGCGCTGTCGCCGCTTGACAGGATATCCACAAAGAACGATGCATCACCGTCCATGGGATCGCGGCTGCTGTGCTCCGTGAGCCCAATAACCAACTGACACAAGAATCGCCTTCCATTTCCTTCCGCCATTGTCGTCTCTGCACTTTGCTTCGACAGATTCGATTTTTTTGCGAACAAATTTGTTTTTAGTGTTTTCTCAAAAAAAACGCGTAGCCCCGAAGGTCGA